GAAGGTCTCACCCTGGAAAGGCATGATACGCTTTAGGAAGCGTGGAAAGCTAAACCCAAGGTACATTGGACCGTTTGAAATCCTTGCTAGGATCGGTCCCGTAGCATACAAACTCCATTTACCGCGAGAGCTCAGCAACATCCACCCTGTTTTCCACGTATCGAACCTAAAGAAGTGTCTGTCCGATGAGACACTTGTGATTCCTCTCGATGAGATTGAAATCAACGAGAACCTCAACTTCGTGGAAGAACCGGTCGAAATCATGGACAAAGAGGTCAAACGAACGAAACAAAGTCGCATCCCGATAGTGAAGGTTCGCTGGAATGCCAAACGGGGACCTGAATTCACTTGGGAGCGCGAAGATAAGATGAAGCAGAAATATCCGCATCTCTTTCCTAATCCATGATTTGTATTCTATGTTCGAATTTCGGGACGAAATTCCCTCTAACGGAGGGATGATGTGACAACCCAAAACTTTGTCCGTTTCCGTTGCGTGATTTCCGTTAATAAAATTTCGAATTCATTAACTTTTCCGTCAAACTTCTTGGTTTAGAAAATGATCTAGTTATATATAATTAAAATTATTTACGAGTCGGAACCAAAAGTCGCGCGGAAACCCGAATATCTCGAAAACCAAACAATTCCGGCCTAAGTAGGGTTACGACCGTAAACTAGTTTACGACCGTAAACTCGTTTACGGCCGTAAACCCGTTTACGACCAGTAAAGAGTGAACCCCACCACCGACCACAAAACCCCTATAAATACGAGACCTCCACCTTCATTTGAACACTTCTGGCCGAAAACTCTCTCCTTCTCTCTCTAAGAACCTTGACCGTAAACACCTAAAAACACCTTCAAACTTCGGGAAACATCGAGAAACACCGTTTGGAGTCACTTCGGAACGTCTGGAGCACTTATCTCTTCGAAATCAGCACCGTTGTTCTTGAGTTTACGGTCCATCCTCAAAGACCGTAAACCCTGTTCTTGAGTTTACGGCTGTAAACTCACCAAGCCTTCAGAAACCGTAAACTATCAGTCGACCGTAAACCCTTGTTCACGGCCGTAAACACCTTTTAAGTGGTGATTTTGGCTGAAAACCCACTTTCATCGATTCGATCAGTCCCGGTAACATTCCTCAACCGAACACAAGTGTTCTTCTAACACTTTATCTAACGAAATCGCTAATTTAGATACATATATGTATTTATTTGATAATAGGATTTCGTTAAGTGTCACGTGCAACAACTCAAGGAATCTTCATTTCAGTCAGCGCTTTCACACAACAACTGTGAGTTCATACCCCTACATTTTCCATATTTTCAATGTTTTCAGGGGGGGGGGGGATACAAGCTATACATAAATGTTTTCAAAAACTCATGAAAACCTCATACTTTAACCCTTTTGCACTATGTTGAGCATAAGGGACGTTTTCACAAAAATTGCATAGTTTTCCGGACACGCTATTCACTATACATGCAGACTATAATCGGTATAGTTTGGGATTTTTCTAAAACATATCAAGTATAGAACTTTCACTACTAAACGTATGCACTAAGATAGAAACAGTTTACAGTTTACATCACTACTTTATCATGGTATTCATAACTGTAATTATCGCTACATACGGTATACATACGGATTTTCACTATGGTAGAATGCTACTACACTACATGTAAATTAGATTGTACGATACTGTGAGGCGCTACTTCACTACTGTACCCTTAGGTGTACAGGGATAAATCCTATCATAGTATAACCAGAGTCACCTGGAGGGAGAGCGTGAGATTTGTGAATAGATATATTCGGGACTGACAATCCTACACCCGAACTGCTAGCTACAGTTGGGCAGGCATGCCTAGGGTGACAAATGTCATTTAACTCGACGCCTGAAGAACGTTGGAAAGGTCTCTATTCATATCAAGCATGGTTATACGACTCACAATATGTATAAATCACCTTTATTTTACAACTTGACATTCTTCAACAGTTTTATTTACACTAAATAGAACTAATACACACTACAACCGGAGAACTTTCAGGGTTTTCAAATAGAAACGAACATACAATGGTTGCACGCATAAAATACTATTACATCATGATTAGCATTAGCTAGTCACATGAAGTAATAATTTCGCATATCACTACAGTTTTTAGTGACAAACATTCATGGTTTTATACAGAATTGAGAACACTACATTTTCACTAAAGAAAATATCGGATTTTCTTGGAACTATACAAACATTTTACGAACTCATCAACGATTTTCACTACAAACCACCGCTTATGAACTCACCAGCTTTATGCTGATATTTTTTTTCAAACTGCTTGTATTCTCAGGAAATCAGTAGATAGGTACTTGCTGGATTTTTGAGGAACTGGAGCAATAAGAGTTTTATGTTTATACTATACAAAACTAATGGATGTAATTCAAACAAAGTTTCAGACAAAGTTTCAACTGATGTAAACATTTTTTTTTAAGTATTCACTGTAATGGTTGTGTTGCTATGATTGCTGTTATTCATTGGTTGTGATGCTACACATGACGTCCTCCGCCCCGGAATGTTTCCGCCATCGGTTTCGGGGTGTGACAGATTGGGAGATGGAGGCTGGTCAATAAATGCACTTAGGGTTTCGTTTTCAGGGTATAGGGAGATGGAGGCTGGTCAATAAATGACCAATAGGTGGTTTAAGTTGTTTAAATAAGGTGCAAACTGTAATTTTTAGGGTTTTCCCAAACCATGCGTACGCCCAGCGTACATGGGTGAACCCCACGACCAGCAAAGAGGTAGTACGCTAAGCGTAATCATAGAGTACGCCCCGCGTACTAGCCAAGGACCAAAATTAAAATATTATGCAATAAGGTCTAAAAGGAAACTTACAATATTACGAGTGTTACAACTAAATTCAACGTTGATCGTTGACTTTGACAGTTGACTTTTTGGCTTGAGTTGACTTTTGGTCAAACTCCTAGATTTGGAAGAAGATCGAAGGGATTGCCTCGTGTAACTGTATAGGTGGTGCATAGCATCGGTATTTCTGGCAGTGAGAGCAGTAGCAGTTGATTATCGACTGAGAGGTGAGTCTCTTCACTATACTCATGGGTCGAAGACCAATATCGGCTTATTGGATTATGTTTGTAGGATGATAGATGTCTTTGTGACACTTGTTGACATGCTTGTATGTGCTTGTTATCTTTATGACTCTTGTTGATATGATTGTATGTTGATTGTATGTGGGGTGAAATAGACCTAAGGGTGAAATAGACCCGTTTGGTTGAAAAATATCGATTGAGTTGAAATAGACTAGGGGATGAAATAGGCTCGGGGGTGAAATAGACTCGTTCGGTTGAAGAATACTGATTGAGTTGAAATAGACTCAGGGATGAAATAGGCTCGGGGTTGAAATAGACTTGTTACAACTTCGAGCCGATATGAATGTATGGTATGGGGTAATTTGGAGAAATTCACTAAATTTTGTGCTTACGGATTATGTTTATGGTTTCAGATACTTCCGGTTCCAAAGGGAAGAGCTCGACATGAGTGTACCTCATCCACCAGTATTCTGCATGATTTGATTGATTTGTACTCTGATGATTGTATGACATGTTTTATACTATGATGGGTTTTCAAATTAATTGAATGGTTGTTTTGATCGATTTAAAAGGAAAAACTTTATTTAGAAGTTTTGAGACGTTACAGTTTATTACCCTACAAGTCTGTTAGTTGTTAACTAATTTTTGTTAATGACCGAAAAATTAGGCCAATACGAGATGTCGACTATTGTCGAGCTTTCTGATCGGCCTAACACTTGGGCGTGGCAATTATCTAATACGGATGTCTTTATGGTTAACTATATTAGGAGAACTTTGGATGATTATTTTTACCGAATACCAATATCGAGACCAGATGCAATAGGTCGCTTAGAAAAGTTAATATTTTTGTTTGGCGTCTAGTTTTGAATCGTCTTCTTTTACGTCAAAATCTGGTGGAGAAGGACTTGGATATTCCCTTGGTCTATTGTCAGGTATGTCATGGGGACCCCGCATATATTTTGCATTTGTTTATTAAATGTGAGATAGTTGTGAGAACGTGGAGTGCTATATTCAAATGGTTAGGGTTAGGTATGCCTTTAGTGTAAACGGTAGCTATGTTGTTCCAATGGGCAGGCATGAGTTCGTTGAGCATAAAGAAGAAGGCATTGGTTGCTTTGATCCTGATCACTATCATTTGGGTGCTTTGGAGTTATAGGAACGATGTCCGTTTTGCAAGGAACGCATACATAAAACAGTTTATTTTTAATTCGTATAGAGATTTTTTATTTATTTGGCTCAAAAGTAGAAACCCAAAAGATATTGGATTTGGGGTTGACTGGTTAAGAAAACCAAACCAAATGCCATAGCTTTGTAAGTTTTCGATTTCCTCTATTGCTAGAATCCGTGATCAAAATGAGTTAGGGACAAGAGGGAAATTATCTTTTGTGCACCTCAAAAGTGAAGTGAGCCAACAGTTGTACCCAACTCAAGTTTTGACATTTTAGAGACACCAAAAAATTTACCCCTTAAGGCCCAGATGCAGGCTTGAAAGTTGAAACTAAGGCCTACTTTCATTTGATAACACTTCTTTGTTGTGGATGTCCTAGAGAAAAAAGATATAGTAAGAACAATTTTTTTCTTTTTGCAAATTACGATTTATCTTTCCCTGTCAACTAAGAGACCATCAAAGAATTTATCCCACTCCTAATAACATTTCTCCTAAATGTAATAAGGTTTCTTTTTCTAGTAAATAATTGAACATGTGCCAAACCTGAAAAAGTAGTCAACTTCACACAACAAGAATCCTGGCCCAAAAGATTAAATTGCAGCCCATTTCAAATATTCCACCACAACATATGAGAAGCAATGCATCTATTCCTTAACTTGTCATGTTCCATAGCTTTAGAAACACACCTATATACTAATATATATGTATTATCCTCTATAACTTTTCAAAACTCACCTTCCCTTCAAGTTTCGTACAACATATTCATAGAAAGATGTCACTTAATTTCGACAAAAAACTCATGAAAGTTGCTGATGAATTTGCCGATTTCGACCTTTTAAAGACAAAGAACCAACCTGGTCCTCATTTTCGGACTCAAGAGACAGAATCCATGTTCATCCTCAGTGTCCAACTCCAAGGTTTGTATGAAGTTGACATGCATAAAATTTTGAATTAGCTTTTTTGATTGTTAACATAGTAAATATATTTGATGTAGTGTTCAATATTATAGGATGTATAAGAACCCAGTAAATATAATAATAATATGTTATGTCAATGTTCTATGGGTAGTGTTTGATGTGAACTCAAGGAAACAAATAAAATAATTCCTTCTATTGGAATATGAAGATGTTGTCTTGTCTGATATACAAAAGTGGACAATGTAATCATTTTATTAATTTTCATTTCTTACTCGGACAATATCTTTTCTTTCAATCAGACCTCGAATGGAATGGAATAAAAAAAATTCCAATATAACTAAATTATATTATTATTTATTAAAAATGACTAGAAAATATGTTTTTGTTTTTGTTTTTGTTTTTTTTTAGTGATCTTTTATTATCTTTCTTTTGTTATTCTCAGAAATAAAAATTTCATTAACCAAAATTAAATGATGTAGAGACTAGCGTATAGTTATAACTTGTAACTATACATTGTATATATCCATAGAAGTTCCTTTAAAAATTCGTTACATTCTTATGGTCGATCAAAACATGCTCATATAATGTAAAGACTTATCTCATATCTTATTCATTCTATTACTTTGTTCATTATATTTCATCCAACAAAACAAGCTCTTAGTTTTGAATTGAATGAAATCCTACAGGTTATAAACGAACACATATAAAGGTTGAGAGAAACAAAGATGGGAATATCACAATACATGGCGAAAAACCATTTCAAGATACATTGATGGTTGGAGGAAAAGTCATAAAGAAAGATATCAAAATGCATGGATTCCGAAAACCATTCAAAATCCCACAAGGGGTTGTTTTGGATAAAGTTAAAGCTAGGTTCAATGAAGACAACTCAGAACTTGTAATTCGAATCCCAAAAGCTACAAAAGGCTTCATCGGGATTGGAATTGAGGAGTTGAAAACAAAAGAAATCCCATCAGAATCCACAGAACTATTACATATTTATTCCAATGGAGAGTTGTCAGAGCAAGAAATTGAAGAGAAAAATGTTCAAGATTTCACACAAAATGTAAAAGAAGAACAAGTTGAAACTAATGATGGTGAAAGCAAAGAGCATGATAGCCAAGAACCAAAATTGCCACAAAGGAGGTTCAATATATGCACTCCAGTCGTGTTTGGATCCACTATCTTTGTGTCTCTCATCGTATTGGTTTTCCACTTGGTCCAATCTAAAAAACCAATAAAACAACAAAAGAAAACAGATGAAGATTAGTTTAAAAGTAGCCTTTATTAACGTTATTGATCATGAAAGATCGTTTGCTATAAGAAATAAATTTGTAATAGTATGTTATATTTATGATTTGTTTTTTATTGTAAATCACTTGTATATAGTTTAATTGGAATGAAAAGTTATTTATTGTTTCTAAATTTATTATATTTTTGCACGGGTGAAAAAAAAAACATAAAACGGAATCTAAAAATTACATGGGTTTTGTGGCTGCAAAACCCAATTATATAAATCTCCCTGTAAGTTGCCTTTTTTTCGTAAGTTTCTTCTAGTGTTTTTCTTATTTATAACATAAAGTTGTTAAAAAAAAAAAAAGTCTAAAAATTAGTAAACTAGATATATAGCAAATTATCTAAGTACTCATGTGGTTGACTAAAACTTGTAGATTCGGTTCAACTTTTGATTTCGCATTTTATTGTGGTTTTGCATTATGGTCCTTCAATTTTTCATTATGTCCGAAATTTATTTTTATTTTGTAAAGAAATTTGGGGTATTGACATTAAAACATTAAGGAGTAATGTTTTAATATAAATTAAGTAGGTGTAAGATCCGTGTAGTATACGGGTTTATTAAAAATAAAAGTTTAATATAAAATTATAAGCATTATTTAATTTTTAAAGCAATAGTTTAACATAAATACAAATAATATAATAAATAAAGTAATTAATTTAATATATATTCTATGAGATTTGAAACAAAAAGAAAGAAACATTTAAAGAGCATTTATTCTGATATTTATTATAATGATCTACCTTATATATATAAACCTTACTAAATTTTGATTTTAAATTTAAGAAAAAATGAAAAATACAAAAAAACAACAAGTGGAAAAAAAATAATTCAAAAAATCCTAGAAAATGACACGTGTCAAATTCAATAAGAACATGACATTTGGCAAAAATATTTTTCATTTATTAGGTTAGATTATTATATGGTATGATTTTTTCATCAATCTTTTTGTGTTCTGTAATAGCATGTCTAATCCCTGATTAGTTGGTTGTTATTATAAACATTATAGTCGATCATAATCATATTACAAAAGTAATCATGAATGAATATTTGGTAATATAAAAGTAATCGTGAATGAAGATTTAGTAATATTCATGGGGATGAATATTAAATTTTGAGATAGCAAAATTCACATGTACTCACTAGTGATGTAACGTTGTCATGTAGAAAGGGCGATTGTGTTATTCTTTAATGTATGTCAGGTTCCAACTATTACTCGTGTAATTTGCCTGTGATATATTACACAATCGTGTAATACATTGGTTGAAATTCTTCATGTCTTTATAACTTCTTCGATACAGATCTAATTGTTTAGCCTCTCAGCATAAAGTATTGTATAATTGATTAGGGGATTTTTATGTATCTAAAATAATGACTCTAAAAGTAAATAACATATAAGTAAAATTGATGATAAGTCAAAGTTTTTGAAAGATCCGATGGATTCTATTTTATGAGACCATGTTATCATTTATGATATAACATTGTATTCCATTCTATATAAATTGATACCAAAATACTAACATAGTATCTTTATTTTTCAAAGTATTTAACCAAAACAATCTCTTTGTGAAAAACAAGCTCATGAGTATTAAAGTATGTAATCTTTGGTTAACACTAACATTGATTCCAACAATTAAGTGTTTGTTAATTCCATCTCACAAAACATGTTTGCATTTCACAAATTGCATAACTTGAAATTGGCCATGGTGAAAATAGTTGACAATTATACATTTAATGAAGAAAAAAACCAAAGATTGTAGATAGATTTGAGACCTAACAAAAAGTCATGAAATCAAAAACATAGTTCTTAACTAGAAAGAAAGATAGCCACACATGACTTACTAAAATCGAACTCTAAAGCAAGATAAATCACCAAATTTAACTTACAAAATGAAAACTAAAGTGCTTTTAAGTGTTTGATTCAACAAAGTCTCTTCAAAAATCGTCTTGTCTGAACTTTGGAATACGCAAACACAGTCATGTTGCTGTTATTGGAATTCTTTACCTTCCTTTAGTTACATGGCCGTGTAACTTCGTACTTTGGAAAGCACGGTTGTGAAATTCTTCAATACATGACAGGTTCCAACTATTACACGGTCGTATAATCAATTTTTGAAATATTACATGGTTGTGTCATATACTAATTGAAACTCTTTATGCATTCATAACTTCTTTATTATATTGATCCAAAAAACTTTAAACTTTGCCCACAGCCTCTTGATGTTGTTCCAATAAACAACTAAAAGTGTGAATTTATTAACTTGGGATACTGACTTCTAACTACTAACCATCTACTAACCATCTGTTAAAAAAAACAATGTGCAATTAATAAACTCCCACAAAAAAACAATGTGCAATTAATAAACTCCCACAAATTTCCTGAAAAGGGACAATAAAAACATAAACTAAAATACAATGAATGACATTAAATAAACATGTAAAAAAGTGCATTATATACACTATAAAAGAAAGAAATGGTTCTAGGATAACAATTTAAAAAAATAATAATAATTTATAATAAATAAATAAATAAGTAAAGGTCCGTAAGTGATCCCTACCATCTCGTCACTTTAGGCTTCTCTCTTGCTACCAACCTCTTGAGTTGCAATACACAAATTTTGCATTGAAAACTTATTGTTCTAACCTAATAACCTTTATTAAATTGTTCTAATTTTTATAAAATTGAAGTGTTACAACACGCATGTATTAATATTTTTATGAAAATTAAAGTGTTACAACATCCATGTGTGCTTCCAAAGGAATATGAGATTGCTTATGGCTATATTTCAACCACACAGGAATATACCACATTAAGGTCAAGATTCCTACCTTATATGGAAATTTTGATCTATAAGTTTTCATTCAAAAGTCCTATGAACTAGAGAAATCTTTTGACACCACGAACATAGAAGCTTTGAGGACAAATATATATATACAATGACATTGCACTCTTTGTTCAATAACAACAATAATAAAAGGGAAAGAAAATATGAACAACAAAGCAGCCAATTATTCTAAAGTAGGGTCCAAAAATGATCCATAGAAAGATTGGTACAATAATCATCAAATTTCACCATATTAATTCAAATCTCACATGCACCTACCCCCCCCCCCCCCCCCCCCACCCCACCACCCTAACCCGAATCCACTTTCTCTTTATACATAACCTGCCACCCATTTTCACAGCAACACCACTAACAAAACCACACACCAAAAAGCTTTAACAACGCTTACAAACCCCACAACCTGCAAAAAGAACAAAAAAATTCCAATAATCATCATCACTTTATTCCCCACATGCATGGTTATGTTCTTCACATTAAATAGATTATTTAAATGATTACTGAAAAAAGAAATTATGTAATGATTACTAATACCTGTAATAATCTATGATGACCAGAACTTGGCACCGGTCGTATGGTGGCGGAATCCACTTCTCCGGTCGGCAAAGGCACCGCCGGATTACTGTTGATGAAAGGTAAAGAACTGCCGCCTTTTCTTGGACCACCACCCATGGGCCCACTCGTCGGAAAAATTGCATTCATCGGAGATGGGCTAGGAGATGTTAGTTCTTGTGGAAGGTTAGGCCATGGGTAAGATGGAGACGATGATACAATACCTCCACCTCCACGTCCACCACCACCGCCGCCGCTAGAGCTAGTAGGTGGTGGGGTTGAGGATACAGCTTTCCCATGACCACCACCGGAGCTAGTAGACGGTGGGGTTGCAGATACAATATTCCCAGAGGGTGGCTGTGCCGCCGCCGTCGGTGGTTGAGGGAGTGGTGGCGCCGGTGAACTTTCCGGCGTGTGAGAAGAGTAGACTTTAATGGCGAGCTTGTGGTCGTCGTCGCAGGCTTTTGTGGAGACATTTTTGAAGGCGAAGTAGAAGGAGCCAAGACGCGATGGATGCCACTTCATTCCAAAACAAAAATAAATAAATAAATTATTTAAAAGGGTTAACTTTTATATTTTTTTATTAATACTTTTGTAATTATTAAAGTTTACTTTGAATATATAATCATAAATATAACTGTTTTACTTTTTATTAAATCAATAATGAACTGTTTCAAGTAATGGTTACAAATGAGTAAAAAATGATATTTTATAAATAAAAACATCATAATTACTTTTTTTAAGGTTAATATAAATTTTATTTATTGCAGCCACATTAAACTGAATATCAGGATTTAAAATCACATAAGCAATTTTTAATGCTGTTAAAAAAGTGTCAAATTTAGGATTAAATTAAGGAGCTAATTAGAGGGGGAAAAAAGTCGACACTTTTACTAAAAGTGAAATGTATAACAGATAAAGCCGATGCTACAATGATTTAAAGGATTCAATGCTTTTTAAAAAGAAAAGTAAATGTTGTTCGTAGTTGACCTTTTTCTTTTATGGAATGTACAACAGACGATGCACGCTGTACAATGGTTTAAGACACTAATCCATTAAGTTTAAGCAAAGAAAAACACAGAAACAAACGCATGGAAGCTTTGCTTCGAATAGAATGTACAACACATAAAGCATATGATACAATGGTTTAAGCAACAAAAATAGCACACACTAAGTGTGTGAGAGAGAAAGAGAGAGTAAGAGAGATTACAGTGAAGGTGGGAGCTGAAGGAGTGAGAAGAGTTGATTCAGTGAAGTTGCACAAATTGAAGGCTCTTCTGTTCTTGAAAATGTATAGACTGTAGTTGTATTTGTGCCTGAAAACTGAAATTTCCAAAAATTAGATTAAATTAATTAAATAAAATCAAAACCCCACAAAAAAAATTAAGAAAAAGAAAGTGAAATTGGAGGTATTCCATAAAAGAGAAGCAAACATTTGCAAAAAAATGAACTTATAAAACAAAAGAAAAGTGGAATTTGGATTCATCCCACAAAAAAGAAAGATTTTGTTTGTGAGAAATGGGACTTAGTAGTTAGAACAAGAAAACGATATAAACAGAAAGGTGAAATTGGACTTATCCTATAAAAAGGAAATATAAATTGCA